GGGAAGAAGGAGACAGCGCTACAGACCGAAGGTGGAATATTTACTTATTAACGAAAAATATTCTTTTAAGAAAAAGGAAAAAATTTATTTTGCTATTTTATATGATTATTATATTGTTGCTATGCAAATTTGTAGACCTTAAGAGGAGCCATAATATCTAAAAAGAGCATGATACCACCTTCTATCTTTTATTATCTATCTTTTTCTCTTTTTTATAGAAGTCGTTTTTCTTTCTTTTAAAGGGTGTATGTTCCGTTAATAAATAAATATTCTCAGGAACGGACTTCATTGACTGCGGTTTCCGCGAGTCGCGTGGCGGACGAAACGCCCGTCGCGAGGATGAGAATCAAGAGATCGGACTTGATTCACGAGTCGTACGATCGTGACTCTTCGATCTTCAACGAGGAGCATCGGCGCAAGCGTAAAAGAACGAATGAAAACGTAGCATCCTCGAGTACAACAGAAGCGAGTGAATTGCGTTCTGAAATTGGAAAAAGATTAGCCGACGGATTGAATTATCCTGCTGCGCACCGGCAATCTTGCGCGACTGGAAAGCGGCAAGCACAAAAGCATAAAGCTGCTGTTCGGGATATTACTATGGCGCGTAATGTCGGACCTCGTGTCGCTAATGATATAGACGAGCGACGTTTCTACTCGCAAGAGAAGCCGGCCGCCTCAGAGCAGCCTCGTCTGGTGAAGGACGACGCAGTTAGGGAACCCGACGAGGGCGTTTCCGCGAGAAATCGCGGAGCCGCTTCGTCTTCGGCAAAAATCCCGCGAAAGTCGCGGCTTTCCGGGACAATGGGAGGCGCCCTCGGCGAGCGATCGGCCGAAGTCGCGCTAAACTCGAGAACGGAGAAGGCAAGAACCGCGGACGATTTGTCGGCGTGCGAGCCGACGGCCAGGATATTACCGGGCTGCGCAAGAACTGCCGAGGACCGAAGCGGCGGCGCGGAATCGACAGCGGTGAGTCATCTCAGGAGAGTCTCAGAATTTAAACCAACTGAGGAGCGCGCTATTAACGAGTTAGCCTATCTAATAAGGGGCAAAGAGCATAAAATGTGTGTTTATTACAAATTATTAAAATATATTTATAAAAATATGACTTAATTTATAAGAGAAATTACGTTTACTTCTGATTCTAGCGTATTACTTCCTTTGTTTTCGAGAAACAAGAATTATCTTCCACCTAATGATAATAATAATGAACAATAATGATAATAAGGGCGAGACGTACGATCACACGCTCGACATCGCGGCGGTTCAAGGTGTCGATAAAAACGCCCGGCCGTGGTTGTCCGCCGCAAAACAGCGACTTGAGGGCGCAAGGAGGAAGAAGATTAATGCGGACCTCCGGGCACAGTGCGTTTCCGCCGGAGAACGGTGGCAGGGGAGGACCACCGTCCGCGAGATTATCGCTGAGATGAGGAAACGGCAGCCGTCGTTGGCGGGAAGAAACGAAGATCGTCGATCCGGCAGACGGCTGTTGTCGAGCGGAAACCACGTCGAGGATGAGTACTACGAGACGAACGCGGCGAGCGATAATGAAGCTATCGCCGGCGGCGACGATCTATCGCACGATTCCAAGAACGGATCGCGAGATCGGCGGAAAGTGATGGAAGATATCGAAGGAATAGCGGAGGAAGAAAGGCGCGAGGCCCCTTTCGAAAACACAGCTGGCGATGAGATTTCCGGTGACCGCGCCTCGGAAAGTTCGCAAACTCCTTTCGAAATAGTAGAAGAGCAACCCGTCGCCGGAAACGTAGTTGCTAATAAGATTTCCGATGACGGTGCTTCGGGAGGTCCTCGCGAGGAAAAGATCGACGAGCCCCTTTGTGTCAATCGGTCAACGTTCGCGATGTTTAACGTGAAAGCAAACTTTTCCACGACGACGATCATCGAAGAGGCGCTCGGCTCCTCCTTGAGTTCTGCGACGCCAGAGAACAAAGGGAACATCAGGCTAAGCGGAAGGATTCACGTAAACGGTGGTCTCAATCAGACGCCGATGCTCATCAGCTTCGATGCAATCCCTGAGTCCTCGGCGAAGACTCTCGTGGACGAATCGTCAATTTCTACGGATTCATCCGTCTTTGATCCGGCGATCTCGCGAGATGAACACGCGAACGACGAAGCGCACGATTCGATAAGCGCGACGTCCAGTTTGGAGAGCCGGGAGTCTGAAGATGCGCGCGGCAACGAGGAAGAGCGGAAACGAGCGGACGAATCCTCGCGAATCGTCCAGGGGAACTTGAGGGCGGCTAAGCAGGTATTTCTGACGGATTACTCGTCGATCGCGCCGTCCAGCGGTGAGACGATTCCACGGCGTGAAGGAGCGATCGACAAATTGGATCGACGCTCATCCACGGTATACTTCCCGGACATCTTGGGTTCTGTCGACAACACGCATAATGCTAGGTAATGAATTTTCCGAAAGCACAAATATATATAAATTATAATAATAAATTATATGATAAAATATAAATGTGTACAAATTTATATATATAAATATATACATTTTTTAACATGTTGCAAGCTCAGAAGAAATAAATAATTAAACTTCTTTTTTGAAGTTTATTTATTTATTTACCTATTCATTCATATGTATATTTATCGTTTAGAATATAAAACTTATTTTGAAATAACGTATTCCCTTTGCCGACACTATCGATCCTGCAGAGAGGAGAGTTGGCGAAACTTCACTTCCGATGAGTGCTACAAGATGCCGACGATCGTACGGAAACTCGAGCCCGCCGAAACGACGACTTGGCGATTGGCGATCTCGAGCGAACATCGCAACCCTGACTTTCCACCCGGAGTGCATGACCGAAACGCAAATACCACTGGAACTTGGTCGTCCCTAAAGGATGGCGTGTTGCCGAGTGCAGCCGAGATACCGTGCGGTAAACGGAACGACACGACGATTCACATGAGGAACATGATGGCGATCGTGAGGTTCATGATGAAGCTGCTGAGAATAGTCGCTCCCGCCAGGACTCAGATCGGAAATACGATGATTCGCGCGAAGAACATCAACGGCGTACGCCGAGAAGATCATTGCGGGAGGATCAATGCTGTAAAGCAGAAGAGCGCCGTCGATGAGTCAGCGAAGATGAGGCTCACCGAATGGCGATCGACAATCGCCCAGAGGCTCCACGAGGAGGATGACACTCCCGCTTCAGCAAGCCCTCGCGATGAGAACGACTCCTTTGAAACGAGAAGGGAGGTTCACGCCCCCACTTTAGCCAGCGGCTCTTCTTCCTCGGCGCCCTTTCTGTTTTATGAATCCGGACAGAAGTCGCCTGGCGGAAAGAAGGACGCGCCGCGGAAAAACACGAGCGTCGCTCTGACGGACGCGAATTCGACGAGAAGGCAGTCCAGATCGGACGATGGCGAGATCGCCGATCGACTGGGTAAACAAGAAATTGCCTCCTCCGCTGCGACCGGTTTGTTTCATTACTCACATACTAATATATTTTCTTTCTTTCACTCTCTGTCTATATTAGAGACTTTTCTTCATTAATAACGATTATTATTATTATAATGCGCAAGCCGCACAGAGATCTTCCGAGGAGAAGCTTTCGGCGGGTCGTAAGAGACGCGGGTTTCGCCGGATGAGCGGTATCGCTAACAACGATATCGTCGGTTCAACGTTTCCCGGGCGTTCAAAGAAAAAAGTATCGGACTGCGTCACGAGGACGAGATTGCTCAATAGTTGTGCGGGAGGAGCTTTTCCCGTAGATTGGGCCAAGAGACAACGGGTGGCCATGCAGCAGCTGCCGCTCGAGAAGAAACTTGAAGAATCGCGCGAAGCGCCGGCCGGAGGAGCTGCCACGCCGGAAAAACTCGTATTTCGGTATGTCCGCGGCGAGATTCACCGTCCCCGTGAGCCGAATCTCAGCGCAGCTGATGGAGGCGATTCGTTCGAGGGAAAACCTCCTATCAATGATGCTTTATCCGTCAATGGAGGTTCGTTGAGGTCGGCGATTCCATATTCGTCGACTTCTTCCGTACGTCGGGTCTCGCGATTCTTCATCGCGCGAGCGAACCGGCAAGGAGGTCGCGAGCTTCGTTGTGAAAAAAACTTTCACAAGAAGAAACTTCGCGAAAGATTTTTGTCATATGATTCCACTCGTTCGATTTGATTTGCACGGGGAGAATTTTGTAGCTTCCTTTCGTCCGAAATTCTTTGCAATTTTCATGTTTTCATACCGGGTTAGACTGTCAGTCGAAATCTTAAGGGAAGACTTGTATCAAAAACAGGTCTGACTTTATGAACTCTTTGCGGAAAAATGGGTCGTGTTTATTTCATTTCAAAGGTCATAGTTTTTTCTATTTGAAAAATTAAACTTGATTAAAATATATTGGAGGCGCTGTGGAACATCACGTAAATTATAGTTTTGAAAACGGTGACCATTCGAGCAACGAGCAAAATTATTTCTCTCCGTGATACAGTAAACTTTTTATCGGTGGACTTCAGTTCCTAAAATATAAATGGCATGTATGAGAGGAAAGGATGATAAATTAAGGCGGAATGTCGATATGTTTCTCATTTACAAAACTCCGCAACGATTTTCCCTACAAAATTCCTTCCGTGATCGAATTGATTCCACCGAGAATGTTCGTTTCCGCGGCGCGTTTTTCATCGCTCGATCTACTCCGTCGGGAATACACTCGAGAAAGAGCAGCGCGATTATAAAAAAGGAAACTCCAATGTTCCACGGCGAGAGGGTTCCAACGTAATTAGTTTCATTACTCCCCGCGACAGATCCCATAATCTCGCGATGTCTCATGGTGCTGCGAGCAAGAAACGGGAGGTCGGCGGGCGTCGCGATTTCCGGCGGGATAACCGCGTGTTCAGGAAGCGGCAGAAGACCGCCGGGAGAAGGAAGAAGAAAAAAGAGAAGGGCTGGAGGAGGAGGAAGAAGAAGAAGAAAGGGAGTCAACGAACCAAAGATACTTCGGAGATTAGAAAGCAGCGGCGCTCCGGGAGACACTTATTAATGACGTCTCTCGAGTATGACGCCGATGACGTCGCGGCGCCGGGTGAGGACTTTTCCGCGGTGGATGCGAGGAAGCCGCACGGATCGGAGGTTGATCGCGCAAACCGAGCGCAAATCCGGGGCGGTCAAGATTGCACGGATCGCGGACACCCGGCGAATATCGATGCGGCCAAATATCTGGAGTCCGCGCATTGTTTGCGCTTTAGTGATTTATGGTAGGTCGGCGATGGGGATTTAAAGGGATCGAGCGGGTGATTCATGTCGTGTGTCGCCGGCCGTTACGTCTGAGAACGGTCGGCGCTTTTCCGAGGCTGCCGCACTGTTCTCCGCTGCTACTATAATCAATTAAGATTGAATGTCGTTTTCTCCTTTATTGCAAAATTTTATGCTAATTTTTATTATAACATCCTCTTTATGTAATATTAACTGATTTCATATGCATAATTTCACCGCGGTCAATATAGAAAACTCCATTAATGCTGTCCCTTGACATCGAAAATTTCCAATTTAAAACACGATGTGCGAATATTTGTGCATCATGACTATTGATAATCTAATGAATCAGTAATGAAGCAGCAGTCATGATGTACAAATATTCCAAAATAACACGCTTAATTTTCAATGTTACTATAACAAACAAAAGTAAAGCCAAAATTTATACAAGTAACAGACATTATAAAATATAACAAAATCCAGAAGTTAAATAAAGTTTTGGAAGGAACATACAATTCGAATGGCATTCGCATGTAATTAGTCGCATAAAATGCGGGTGGAACGCGGATTGATCTTATGAATTCACTGACCAAAAATAATGCTATTATTTAATGCATATAATGCAGAATATTTTTTATGTCACTTATTATGAACGGTCTTGTTTTCCAATGCCACACAATAGTTTATTTAAGGGAACTGCGCGGCAAATCACGCACACAATAGAGGCGCGCGTCGATGATTGTTTAAAATATTAAAACAATATGACCAATAGTCCTCGGCCATTCATTTCCCAGTTTTGTGGAGAATGCTGCGCATTATAACAATTGTAAGCTGCAGTCGTAACAAAAGCAAGAACACGACACCGTTTTGTGTTTAGCGCTTTTACATCCGTGGTCGATACGTCGAGAATTAAACGAGAAATTGATCGGCATGGAAAACGCTGTTTTACGATATTTTTCGATGCGTTTCAAAAATGTTCAAACACATTGAGAAAACAATCGCAAGCAATTTCTACGTGTTTGTTGTCGTAACCTGCATACAAATTCCCAAAGGTTTTCCTAGAAGCAGCGTAGATCAGAATGCCCAAATTTACCTCAAAATAGCTTATCCTATCTTGGTTATTTATGGTAATTGTAATACCAATTGGGAATCTTCTTCTCATCTCGAACATGGTTTGCTGCCTAGAAGCGAGACGAAAATATTGTGAAGATATGCGCTTGTCTTCGTAGATAAAATTAGTACACTTTTATAGAATCAAATAGGAAATCTTATTCTTTATACTGACTGTTGAATTCTATAAAATAAAAAAAATGAGAAAACAAATAAAAAATTTTTAACACTTTGAATACCTATACTTTTCAGATATTTATACTTGTAAAGTGTGCTGCAAAAATGTTTAATTCGGATGTAAAATGAAAACCAGAAAAATCACACGGGATCTGTTTGGGTTTTCCATTTGGAGTCGCGTGTTGGGAAAATGACACTTCTAATCTGAATCTAAAATCAGAGTCCATAATCTCTCTCTGAGAAACTGGATTCCTACTACACGCCAGGAAATTTTCTGCGCGAGCATTATCGAGTCCGCGAATTTTTCCCCAAAGGGTTGTTCGCGTTCGACGGAAATAAACGGCCGGAAAATTTCTCAGGTACTCGGTGTATCAGCTGGAAGATCCTATCATCGAGCATACGGTGTATCTTCAAGTTTACGAAAAACGCGCCTTAATGAATGGCTCGGCTTACTGGCGGGATCTCACCGGGGGCTCCATAGTCAGGTGAGAATCTCTCTTTCTCACACGGTTAAATGCGCGTTCGAATATTCGAAGCGGTCCGATAAACTTCACGCTAGACAGGTGTCGTTTATGCCATCAGATTGGGCACGTTCAACAGGCGCCACAGAAGCGGCGAAGATACGATCGTTTTCGCTTACGAGGAAGCGAAAACGACTGGACGGACGGAGGTTCCTAATTTGGACGTCGCTGGCGATCGTCTTTTGGTACCGTCGTCGGTGACATCAAAAGATTCCGAATATCCTGTCGAAGGTATCGGAACGCTATCTCAATGCTACCCGCGCAGATAGGACAGAAAATTTGCCGCACGGAACGAAATTTTCGTTGATTTTCCCTAACTTGTGAAAATAAAAAGCTCTTCCTTATTAAAACTATCTTTCAAATGAAAAGATCGATATCTATTCGAGACATACTTCTATTAAAATAAAGCACAACTCTTTTGCTACAGCAATTTGAAATATATTGTCGTAAATGCAGCAAGAAACGTATTATTGTAAATACAGCAATGATTTATCTCCGTGTAGAGTCGCGTAATGAGCTTAATCGTTTCGGTGTTTGACGCAGACGGTGGAAACGAGTACCTCGTGGTGCCCGCGAGCCGCATCAACGAGAACGGCAACGAGTGCGACAAAGCGGGCGTGGGATTCGCAGCGTTCGCCGGCCAGCCGGACCGGTGCGAACATGTCAGGGGGACCTGTTTGAAAAATCAGCCGCTAGCCTACCGTAGGCACGACGTGGTACGTATGACAGGTGCAATAAATGAAACAACACTGGAAATAGCCTGTCGCGTCGCCTCGCGAGACGCTTTAAGTGCGTCCGCCCGTTCGTTCGCTTCTCGACGATGTGATTTATCGCGCGCGCAAATTTAATACTTATGCTCGCGGAACGGACGTTCGCGATATAAATCGACGGCAAATTTTTGCGCGTCGATCCTCTTTCTTTTTCACTTTTCCTTCTGACGTGACGTGAATTTCGAGTGGAGCCACGCGAAATAACGTATTTGCGAATCGCGAATTATAAAGGTCCGCGCGCGGCGATTTGTTGCGATCCGAAAACATTCTGATCTGAAACACGGGTGAGAGAAAGAGCGGGGGATGAGCACGGGGGGATAATAAGCCGGTAACAACGTGCGTTACGGTCTGTGAATTATTGTTTCACGGCTCTTAGTCGGTCGCTGTAATCGCGCAAACTTCGCGCGGCTCTTTCAGCGCATAAATTCCCTGCGATTTTCAAACGTAATCCGTTTGAAAAATAAAACTTCTTTAGGGAGGATACAGGGAAAGAGATTGGATGAGAAGAAACGAAATGCAATCGTTCGTCAACTAAGGCGCTCCTTTCGTGAAAGCATCGACGAGGTATATAACCTTTTGAATGCGGAACGCTGGAATATTTTACATTGTCGCGAATTAATCGGTGAAAGAAGTCACTTCTTGAAAAATCAAAAACAATGAACAGAGAATTTTTTCCGTACGCCAGCTTGTGTTACACAACCGAATGCCGTACAAACTAACAGTTGTCACGGGGTGAAAAAACGGTGAAATATTTTTCGAGCGAGTTGGGCGCAGTTAGTATATTAATAACATGCCATTTTGTGTCCAAGTGGATAATTGTGGTACGCAGTCTCACAAAAATATCTAATAAAGCTATCGGTCTACCTCGTCGGTGCGCATCAAGAGTTTGCGAGACTTCTTATATTGGTTTCGGTAGATAGTCTCTATTAGATATTCAAAAGTTAAGGAAGCAGCCAGGATATCGCGATCGCCCGTTCGGGCTATCAGCGCGAAAATGTCGGAAACCGTCCGCTTTCTCGGACATTTCCGGCCGAAAGTCGGCTTGTGTTCGCTTCGTTCGATGTCACGTGTCGGCAGGAAGCTCGGGCGGCCGGGCGACCCGGTTGCTACTTCTTGAGCAATTTCGCATCCGTGCCGAGCGAGCCCATCAAGTACAGCGCGAACGGAAGCCGCGAGTTCCTTGCTCTGGAGTACCATTCGGCGCACGTGTCTGCGATCGACATCGAAATCAGTTACAACGCCGCGGCAGGGTGAGTACCGTCTTTAATTGAAAGGGCTTGCGAAAGAGAGATCATTGAAATTATATCTGTAAATGCTACGGATCTAATTTTCAATTCAAATCTGAGCATCTCACTTGAGACAAGTTTCAATACGAGCGTCGGTTACTGATAGATAGCTGCTCTGCTCATCAGTTTAACATGATTATGACCGCTCGATTTAATTGACATCGTGTGGTGGAATCTTAGACCATTTGGCCGTATCAGCGAGGTATACGCGGACTGCACAGCGCTCGATCACACCGTGGTGACCGTTGTGATAACAAATATGCGAATAATCTCGGTACCTTGTCGATCGAGGATCGCGAACTGTTCCGTCGGTCTTCCAGACTCCTGGAGAAACGCCACGTTTCCGAGGAAAATGATTCAACCGCGGCGGAATCAGACAGTGAGCCTGAAACTTTACGGAGAGCTTCCGGCCGACGAATTTTATTGTTCTGGTAAAAATGCACAATAATCTAATGAGCGGAAAATGTAATTTTTTTCCAATGAGGAAAAAACGTGATAAAATTAACAAAATTTTGTTTGACGAACAACATTATTTCAAGCGCGTTTAATTCTCTCTTGTTTAATATAAATCGATTGTTGTGTACGAATAAAACGACAGGAATATTTTGTTGCGACTATAATCAAGCTCTGAAGAAGCGTTGCAATGCGTGAAATACACGTGTAAGTACGTATGCCAGCAAAAATTGCGCGGTCGCATTTCCAGTGCAATTATTGAACCGTCACGGAGAACCGGTGGCCACCAGGAGGATAAGGATACGGAAAATGGATCGTTGCTCCTGCGTGTCGCGCTGCTCGTGCGTGGGTGACCGCAGTACCGACTGTCGACCGATGTCGCCCGAGCTTTATCACGCGACAGGATTTCGCGGCGCGGTTCCACTGACTCCTCCGAGACGCGGCATTTTCTCCAACCTCACCGTGGACGTCCTGTTCTTTCTCATATCGTTAATATTGCTATTGTTCTTCATGGGTGAGTAATTCTCTTTCTCTCTGTTTAGTTTCGAGAAACTACAGTTTTTTCTGTATAAATACGTTCTCTTTAGGTTTTATGAAATGGCTGATCGGTTTGTGCATACCGGCGGTTAACCGTTGGGGTTTGGATTCTTTATTAGCGACTGACAGGATGTCGGAGTACTTCGAACAGGAGTTAAAATACAAATGCGTGGTGAAGGACGAGCGTGGTGCACCGGAGACGCGCGTCAGGATATGCGGCAGGTGAGTAAGCAGGTGAATAAGCGGTCGAATTTACGAAGAAATAACGTACGGTCGCGAAACGACGCGTAAAGACGCTCCGCGTGTTCCCTCAGGAAAGCAGAGTTCCTCCTGAACACGACGTTCTTCCTCATTTTCCCGTTCGCCGTTTGCCTCGCGCGGTCTTCTCCGTCCGTACGGAGTCGTTGCTCCGACGGATCTAAAGTAAGAGCCCGCGCGTTCTCGTGCTGAAAACACAACGATTCTCATGCCCTTCGTCCCGGCATATTGCCTTTTCGACTCAGATCAGTTTGACGAGCGACGAGCGCCCCGGGGTAATCTGCGTGAGCACTTACAGCGACAGTCGTGACTCCAAGATGGAGGCCGAGGACACCGAGTACGTGATGAACGAACTGAACAAGTCGGAGGAATCGTTACGTAGTAGTCACAGTGGAAGTAAGGTGAGCGAGACGAAAAAATCGAACGAAGAGCGCGAGAGAAAATAGATTAATCTTTTAACCCTTTGAATTCTGGCTTTCTATTTTAGAAATTTAGTATTATTTTAATAAAGAAACGGAGAGAGAGAGAGGGAGATATATATGTTAAAAATGTCCTCAAAGTTTGATTTGAAAAGTCATTTTGGAATATAGAAGTGTATCATTGTATCATAGAAAATTTAAAAAAATGGACGAAAAATGAAAATAATAATGAGTGAATTTTTATAAATAAAAAATAATAAATGAATCAATTATTGACTGTCTAATTCATAGAACGAGACGTATAATCGCTTTGCACTGGAAAAAAGTCGATACGCCCTTCTTGCATCAGTATTTCATCCGATACTTCTTCGTTCAGATTGGCCTACTTAAGCCGAGCCCGTCCTTAGAGGATTAACAGGCTGTCGTTACGATGCGTCGTTACGATACTTGACATAGGGATTACATTTTTTCGGCAATTTGTTGGAGCGACGGTTAGTGTAGCGCGCGCGACGAAACGTCAAGAGCGAAGAAGGTAAATCATTCGGTTTATTTACGATCGGTCGATGTTTCTTTTCTCCGTGTGTTAATTTCACGGGTCTTACGACGCCAAGATAATTACGTGGCGCTTTGAATTGCGCGGAATTAAAGATACTTGGAGGAGACGAGGGATCCAATTTATCGGCCGAAAGTAGAACGTATGTGTGTACGCAGAGAGATTAGAGCGCACGGGGAGATTAGATACGTGTAAAATATAGGAAGAACGTAAACGGCGCAACCAGCCAGCCAGCTAGGCGGTACGTACGTGACCCCGAACGAGGGTACGACGATTCGCCCGATAAAAGCGATATTTCATTTCGCGCGTACGCGTAATCCGCCATTCGTCATGGACGCGATAATAAAGTAGATGTTATTTGTCATAAAACGTCACGGAGGCAGCCGAGAAAGCGCCTCCTCTCCCCTCCCTCCCTCCCTCTCTCTTTTTCTTTCCCTTTAGTCGCGCGTAGGATATTTTCGGATTTAATTGCGAGCGCGTCGTGTTTATCGAGAGACGGACGGAAACGAGAATGACACCATCGCCGATGTTATCATCTTTTCAGAGAAACCGTCGCACAAAGGAATACCGTTCGCGCCGCTGACACACCGCTCGGAAGCCGGAGATAATCCTGACCTAATTGCCGCGGGAATCTGAAGAGACATCGACCTAGGTGCGATCGATGATATCTCGATGCTTGATATCGCGCTGTTGCAACGCTCGACCACATGGTTGATAAATGTAGAGCCGATTGTTCTTTGTGTAGTACAATATTAAAAACGACGTTCGCTTAATCGACCTTGAGTTTAATTAAGACTATCATCGTTCTCGCCAATGAGAGTCCTTCGGTGCGTTTGATGATCTCGGATAAGGTGACCAATTTTTCGTCTCTCATCTCGACTTGACATAATACAATGAATCAATCTTTTAAGATCGATATTCTGTAATTGGGGCTGATCAAGAATCTTCGCGCACGTGAAGGATAAAAATTGAACGCCTGCTCGCTCGCTCGTCGTCGACGTTTTAATTTCAACGTTATCAGCCGAGGGTGAAAAATATAATTCGGAGTATAGCCGCGGGATGAAAGAGCGAGGGGAGGTCGAGGGAGTCAACGAGAGTTATGCGCAATGCGGTTGTGCGCCACGCGAGACTCGGAGAATTTGTGACCGCTTCTGGCGGATATCTACGGCGCGGGTGTATCCCCCGGTCTAACCCATTTTTTCGTTGAGTACTATTTATGTACACCATCTGGATGTAAATATTCATGCGGGACATTTACCATGCATTGCGCTTTAGCCACAGCGAATCGAAATAAATGCCCATCTCGCGGCATGAAATTTCAGCCCGCGAGATGCGCGTTCACCATCGAATGACTCTTCTCTTTCTCGTCCGGTCTGCTCGTACGTAACGAAGGATTGTAAGAACCGACGTCAAAGAGAAGAGATTACGAAAAGTTTCATTCGCAAGTACAAAGAGTGGCTTGACGCGAGAAGGATATCTCTAGCGGGATGGGAAACTTTGTCGGAAATAAAACAATATCGCATTCGGGAGCTCAGATTTCAATGTTGCAATTATCGTTTCATAATTGCATAATGAATATCGTGTCCATTTTCAAATGAATATAATTGATCTGCAAATTTGGCAGTGTCCATTGCAATCCGATCTTTACGGGTGAAATTACCTAATTGGTATAAATTGGTATCCCGTTAAAACTAGCGTCATCGTTACGACGGAGATATATATTAGCCAATTTTACGGGTTATATATATTCGTGGTCTGCGTGGTTACGCGGAAATAACGTACTCATCCGAAATGCTCGCGAGAATAGCACAGATAACTACTCGAAACACGATTCTACCACGTGTCCCGAATTATTAGAACTATCCATAAATAATCAAGTATTTACAAGATTTTCATCAGTTTTAAAATCAGTATTTTCTTAATATGCTACTTATACGCAGGGTATTCAATTAATTTTATCGTCGATTAAATATTTCATCACCGCTCTCGAATCTTTCAGTAACTGAGCATACAACTAATTTCAGCGTATACAGCAAATTTCAGTTACTACATAATTGATTGTTGTTAGAAAAGTCGGTAAATTATTGACTTTAATTTGATTAATAACGTCTGAAATGAGTTGTATACTGAAGGTCAATTACTGGAAGACTGGAAATTGACAGCACTAATGGCTATCTCTAATATCACGTCGTTCTAGCTTCAGGCTAGCTAAGAGAAAAGAGACCCGGAAGAGGAAATAACGAGGCGATCGTAAGCGGGAATAACTGCATGCGCGAATAGATTCCAGAGACCGGTGCGCGACTCCCATTCGTTCGTTTACGCGTTGACGTGTCACGCTGATGGATCTTGCGCGCCGCACGTTGGCTCACTTTTCGTATAAAACCGTCGCGTATGTTCCTCATAAGCGTGGCACAAAAGCGTATGCAAATGTACACACCTGCGGTCGACTTCCGCGTCTGTGTGCGTTTCGAGAAAGGCCGCTCTTTGTAATTCGGTAGCCTCCGGGGATCGGCCATACTGACCACACAAGCACGGTAAATGGATGCCGGGAACAGAACAATGGTGTAACATCGGGGGCTCCGCGCAGTCGAGAAGAATGCGCCGTCTACGTTTCGCGATCGGGTTCTCGCCTGTAGATCAGACCACGAAACGCTCGGAAGTCACAAAGCGGCGGACAGCTCTTATTAAAGACCGTATCGCGCGTGAATAATGGTGTTTCGTATCATTTTCGAATTTAAATTCTTTCCCTTGGCGAGAGACTGTTTATGTTTGCTGCCTCTCGCATTGTTCACTCCTTCGAGAAGATTCTCGAAATTCGTTGACTCTCGATAACATGAGCTGCTTTTTGAACGGAGCTAGACGATCACACACAAGACACCGCTCGCAATTGATCCTTCATCCTCGGAAATTAAGCTGGAGGTTTTACCTCGTTTACGTCAATCGTGGACTTCCCTACACGCAAAATACAGATGCAAAAGTTTCTTAAAAATAAAGACAATTTTGTGTGATCGTTTGGGCATTTGAAGAGTCTTGAAAATTTCAGAAATTACACGGATCTTAATTAATTTTCCCCGGCACAAAGATACGGGGAATATACCTCGAAGGATCCAAATATTTGGCTTGATCTCTTATCCACGTCACTTGTACTTTCGGAGCTATCTATTGATGAAAGTATTGCTAATTTCTTATATAAAAGAAATACATATGTGTTAATGTTAAAACTCTACAGATTGCACGGAACAAACTTAAACATCTCCTTGTGATCTCATAGCCATAACTTTTTAACCGCCGGCAATTTGCAGGCAACGATTTATTCCAAGAACCGTCATTACGTTAATGGCGGGGTCGGCCGGATTAACGACGAGCTTCCGGTGAACGGACATTCAGGGTTACTCGCGATAAAGCGAGTTTTCCACGCGATTCTATCCGAAAAGCGCGCACCCGTAAATATTTATACTCGCGATTACACACGAAGGGGAAACCCCCGGGGATAAGAGCAACTTCGGTTCGAAGGAGGCGGCTGCTGCAACTCCGCGGCTCCTGCGCCGGAAATAAATAAACCGACTTTCATTCCCGTCGAGGATATCGCGCGCGGTATCTCCCGGATGTTGATGTTTCGCGAGAACCCCGGCACGGGGTGACGGGGATGTCCTCGGGGCATCGCCGGATCTCCTCTGGAAGTTCCATACCTCACTGCTCGAAGCTTTGTTTTAATATGGCTAAGTTGTTGCGCATGACGGTTCGTCCGCAAATTCCTCCGCAGGATATGCGAAAGAAGAAGAAGAGGAACAATGGTGAGTCGATCGTGGCGTTCTAATTCTTTTCAATTCTTCAAGCTCCGCGTTTTTATTGGGCATATGCAAGTGCTGCTATTTTAATAGAGGGATATCGGTTAAGATATAAAAAAAGGTAGAATTAATTAACAATCTCTGTAATAGTCAATAATGTAGTCAATGGAATCGGAATGTGTAGAAAAGGGAGACAGTTTTTTTAGAGATTCGTCTTTAAAAATGAATCCGAAATTGACAATTAATCTTCGAAAAGAAATTTCGCATGAAAACCGGAGGAAAGACAGCAATTTCCGTCGCGATATTGGCATGAATAAACATATCATGTAGCGCACAACAGTTTTACCTAACAATAACGTAGCCACCCTCTTCAGACATCCGCGCTACGTTTCCCCTGTAAACACGTCGGAGACACCGTCGTTGACGAAGTCACGTTCAAATGATAAATACGAGTTTGCCAGAGCGACGTGCTGTATCACGAGGCCCGACGCAAATTTCGAATTTCCCGAGCAGTCGACGTTTAAATTAATTGGCGATTTTAATCGCCGATAAAAATAACAAGCGAACTATCGCAACAACAACCTGAGTATTTCCCCGGTCACGACGCTGATATCCATTTTCTCTATTTGCATAGCTTACGAATTAATCAAATCGTCTGGGAATATATTTCGCAACATCTACGCGCGATAAGATCGCGTCGTCGTATCTTACGTTACGCCGACGTGGGGATCGCGAAGAATTTCTCCGTTTCGCGCGGACGAAACTTCGCCAGGCGATTTATTTGTTATTTAATACAGCCAACACATTTTCGATCGCCGGAATCACACTCTCTCGCACGCATACTCCCTTCTTTTCTCTCCTTCTCCCGAGATATCTGAAATTAAACAAAACCGCACAAACCGGTTCGATGCAGCGCGATGCAACAGCCGCGCACATCTGCCGCTGCGAACGCGTTGAGAGCGCGCACAAATGGTGATTACGAGAACAAAAGGGTGAACACCGTGAATATATCCTCTTCGTACGCCCCCCCGGCACGATGCGGCGAGCCGTTCCCTCTTTCTTTGCCCGCTCTTCCCCTCCCTCCTCCCACCACTCTTTTTCACAATTTGCCATCTTTTCTCTTTTTTTCCGTTGACTCTCCGGACTTTTTGCGTCGCCGCTCGCCTATAATTCCTCCCATTTTTAGTGCACCTCTCGCTTTTGCCCGACGAAATTCAACGTCAATGGCTTATTGTGCCGGGTCGAATGAAAGACGGGGGCCCGAAATAGTCATGCGATGACTGAGCGAGGTTCTCGCGCGTGTGAGGTAACTTCGGCTGAAGATGGACGGAAGTAGCTGTTAATTTATCAGGCAACATATTCGTACTCAATTTGGAAAAAACTTGAGAATAGATGTTAGAATTTGAGATTCTGTAATTTTGCAAGAGTGGATCATCTTTTCAAAACTGTCGCAATTCTACACAATCGTTATAAAACTGTTTCCATTATATACGGAGAAGATGTTATAAATCTGTTTTTATACAATTAAAACAAATTTTTAATATAAAATTTCATTTCTCAAATATTAAAATTCTTGTAATATTAATAAAACGTATGAAACGAGAGGAAAATAAATAAAAGAAAAAAATGTCGATATGTTTTGCGGTTACAAAACTTTATAGGAATTTTTATTATAAAATTCCCTCTATATGTACAGGTTGTCCCAGCTCCTACATTTTTTCTCATTTTTACGAGAATTCCCATTTAGATAACCGTCATTCTTTCCTAATTAATTAGCCTATCAAAATGACACACT